AAAGGAGGCTATGATAAAGGAGGCTATGATAAAGGAGGCTATGATAAAGGAGGCTATGATAAAGGAGGCTATGATAAAGGAGGCTATGATAAAGGAGGCTATGATAAAGGAGGCTATGATAAAGGAGGCTATGATAAAGGAGGCTATGATAAAGGAGGCTATGATAAAGGAGGCTATGATAAAGGAGGCTATGATAAAGGAGGCTATGATAAAGGAGGCTATGATAAAGGAGGCTATGATAAAGGAGGCTATGATAAAGGAGGCTATGATAAAGGAGGCTATGATAAAGGAGGCTATGATAAAGGAGGCTATGATAAAGGAGGCTATGATAAAGGCTACAGTTTGCTGTACTTTTGAATGAGAGAACGAACCGTGTGCCTGTGTACAGAGACGTTTTTTAGTAAAAAAAACTGACTAGATTTTCATGCTTTGATAAATATCTCAATTAGGGTTCGAGTCATCTTGGTGATATCCATGGAAATAGTTCGATTCAACAAAGTACTTGGTTTCAAGAGGGCTATCTGACAGTAATTTTTCATCGCTATAAAATGGCTGATTCCTGTTTCCTTGCGCAATCGAGAAGACGTTTAAAAGGAAAACTGTGAGTATGATACCATTTTAAGAATGTTGTCGGCAAAAAAGAAGAATGCACTTGGAAAAAAACATTTTTATATCAATATGTTCCCATAAAAAAATAAAATGAAAAAAAATAAAGCTTTTTATTTTAATGTCTTGTTTGTCGATCAATTTTTGATCAGATATGAGAATATMACACAGTAACTTTTTTGGGCCTCGAAAAATTTTATTTTCTCCGACAGTCGTTTTGAAATAGCTGTAGAGTTTTCATGTTCAAAGGCAGCGAAAACCATGATTTGCAGCGTAAACAATAAATATCAGAATTGTCTTTCCGTCTGCGGGAGAAAGTTCCGTTAGCAGGGAAAAGAGTTTTTTAAAAGCGCGATAAGAAATAGTAGCTGCAGATGGAGGTCTTAAAATTAAGTAAAATAGCGTTAAATAGAGTCAGATACCCGTTGATGGAGCAGTAGTTGCTAATGGTGCGGTTTCCTCCGCCATTCTCGAACATGAAGTGATGAATTYAATTTTTTCGTTTTAAAATTGACATGAAGTGCAAGAAAAACGAATTCTTAGCATCTTTGCGAGTAACTAACGGGCCTCGGTTCTATTGTTTTTGGACTATATTTGCTTATTTTCTAATTCATATTGACTTCTGACGATTTAAATGCCGTTATTGTGGCAAAAAATGCTTTAACAAAAACATTAATGAGTTTTTCACTGGCTAATGATATCTACTGAGTGTTAACTCATTGTTGAGCGTTTCACGATTTAGTAGCGCGCTTTACTTTCACGGGTTTAGTGCCTTCATTGAGAGCTAATGAAGTATGCGATCAAGTGCATTTCACTGGATAGGAGTCTCTTTAATGTGGCAACTCTTTAAAAAATAATAACGCTAACTAATTCACATCTCACCTCCATGAGTGAACCCAAAAGAACATGCAATAACGAACAGAACCAAAACCCCCTGTAGATCCAACATGGCGACAATGKTGCACCCGTCAACCGAAGCCAAAGGGAATGTACTCACGTATCTCTAGTCTTTGATATTTATATTGTCAGCTTACATTGTAAATCATAGACGTAGAAATCTCTGTGTAACCTGACTTATTAGTGTTACCATGGCGATTTGAGAACATCTTGGATTGGTATGTGTTGTTATAACAACGTGTGTTTTTCATTCACGAAAATTTTCAATTCTAAAACAACTTTTTTGTTTTTATTTCGAAATGTTTTTTGTTTGTTTGTGATTTGTGAAGTTGCCATTTAGTTTAGATTTCTTCATATTGTGACCGAGTGACTCATAAGACACAATGCAATTGCATTGAAAGGGTGAACGTGTGCGTGTATCCGGGTTTGATTGTTGATGACTTTCAGTTTTTCGTTTATTAGTGTGGATTGTTTAACTTATTAGGCTGCATWWTATAACTAAACCCTTGAAAAACACTAATGTACATTGATTGCTATTACGGTCTATTGTCTATAGATAATTACCCGARTGTTTATCTTTTATCTTTTGTCTTTTTGCACAACGTTACTTTAGAAACACCGACGCAGCTCACACTATTTTACCGCTAGTTTTCATCACTATTTATCGCCCTCAAAGTACACTTTGTTTCACGGGTTTAAGTAAGACGTTAGATCACTTTTATCCCATTGTTTTCCTTTGAGCCTTCCATTGTGTTTTTGTTTCAAGGGTTTAAAGTGCTCAAAGCACGGACTATTACTCTTTGGAAATCACTAAAATATGCATGGATTAGATAGTGATTGACCATTAGCTGTTACTTATATACGTATATATATATATTGCGTGCTGAGTACAGCCTTTTGCAAAAATTATGAGAATTGTCTAAATATCTAAATATCATAATATCCATATCCATATATTGTCCGGAACACGCGGGTTTGCTAGAATAATTCATTGTTGACATCGAGAAAATGTTCAGAGCTACGGATAAGTCTGTCGCCAAAAAAAAACTAAACTACAAAGACAAGGGACTAAGGGCATCGCGCGGGATCACCCATCATTCACTCGATATTAAGATATTTAGATATTTCGACAATTCTCATAATTTTTGCAAAAGGCTGTATATTTACTTATTAACGTGTATTAAGTATGAGAACTGTAGTATTTTCGCTCTAGTAACGATTCCTTGGATAACGATTCCCATACGTGGGTTTGGCCCTCAAAAAGCAATAATAGAGCGATTTCACATAACGATTTTCATAAGATGAAAGACAATAACTGAATATGATCACTGCTCGAGGATATTTTTGTTACCATAGTATTTACGCCTCAAAAACTTTGATAATAACATTTTTATTTGTATCTTGTGTATTAACAAGATTGCAAGCAGCAAACAGACAAACGCAAGACACATTAATTTTCCATAGCCCGATATTTATTTGCTGTATTTTGATTTAATAATCCCCTTACATTAGAATGACTATTTAACATGATAATTCAATTCTTAATACCAAACAAGTCCAGTGTGCACACAAGCTGTAAATAGAAAATTTGCAAAGTTTCGTTACGGTCAGTATTGGCCCACGTAAACTTGAAAAAATACATTTCTGACCTGAAAGACGAAACAAATATTTAAAACATTATGAGATATGCAAATCATCGGATACTCTTATTGAAAAAAATGTCGGTTTTAAAAAAGTGACACCCTGGAAGCTAAGACCGAACAGGACCACGGGAAGTCACGTGACCAATGAAATGACAATGCAAGAGTAACAAAGTGAATGTGGATTTCTAGATAAATACTGTCAACTAAATACTGTCTACAGTGAATGGAAGTGGTGTCTTCACTGAGAGGAATACGTTTGATATATAATTTCTGACTACCCAAAATCCTCTCACTTTGATCTTAGCCTCAATGATGTGACTGAGTTCGACAACGTTTTTTAATCGTAAATATCGATTGAATTCATGCTAATTATGGATGGGCGAATGCAAATATGGATGAATGGATGTGAATYGAAGTAAATGGAAGTTGTTTTTGAAATGAYAGTCATATTTTCATGACTTGATGACCTAAGTTATCTACCATACTTTTTACTGTAAAAGTCATCTTACTTCAGAACGTTAATGTAGGTT